GAGAATGATGTTTTGAGAATGATGAGGGCAATGAATGTACAAATGCGCTTTACACAATTGATGTGTGTATGGATTGTGATAAGAGTTGTATGAGCTCCTAATAAAATGATTAGACACAAAAAGAAAGGATGGCAAAAGACAGATGTTGTAAAGCTGGGATGGCGGGCATTCAGAGCTCTGGCCCACGAAATGGGGCAACAAAGGGTCAGGGAGTTGGGCACAATGACTGGACCTTGAGATTCACATCAGACCCCTGACCTGGAGTTCCAGTCATGGGCTCAGGGCCACCAGGAAGGAGGAGGATGCTCGGGAGCCATCTTCCTTTACAGGCTGCAGCGCCTTATATTTTCCCACCTCTGGAATGGAGCCGGAGCAGGGCCAGCCACCAGTCACACAGGCAGATGGGTGGAAGGCAGCGCCAGGAGTCCTGAAGCTGCGTGTTAGGGGCTCTGGATTGCTGATAAGCCTGGAGTACCGGCATGTGAGCAGAAGATTTAACTTTCCTATTAACTACAAACAGGGGAGTGCCCAGCTGAACTCCCTCTGCTTGCTCATGTACTCCCTTGCTGGATCCTGGCACGCTTAAATGATTCTGGGACCAATTTCTCACCCTATCGAGTGTCCTTGACTGGGCAACCACATTCTCATTTAGACAGAGTCCTTTGAGTCTGTATGTCTCCCGGTACAGGCGCACACTTCCATGGAGGCAATGATTTACCTGTTCTGCACTAGGATGACCTCCGAGTGAAGGTTGCATCAGGTACAGCAATACCAGACTGCTACATTCTATAAGACTGATTTATGCACAAAAATGCCCTATCAGCTTTGCATTTTCCTATTTATTCCATATTAACCAGCCACTCCTCCCATCTTAGTTACATAGACTCTCTGTCCAAAGTTCCATAGCATTTGCTCGTTCCAATGTAGTTCCCCCGTCCTTCCACCTTAAAGGAACCCTGGAGGGACTGCTAACTGCAGGGTCAGTAGTTAAACCCTTTTCCAGAGAAAAAGACAACGCTCTGCTCCCAGAAAGATTTAGTTTCAGAAGCCCTGCCTAAGGTCGCTGGAAGTCAGAACCACTGATGGCAATAAACGCTCACCCGCGAATGGAAAAGCTACTTCGAATCCACCAGCGTGCTATGAAAGATGAAGCAGTGCGCTTCCTTGAAGATTACAGCCTTGGGCACGCTACGGGACAGTTCCACTCAGTCTCACAAGGTCACTGTGAGCGAGTGGACTGGACAGAAAGGGTTTTTTGCTTTTGTCTCCTTCACCTTAATTCCTGGGCAGAAGCCTGAAATCCGGCTCTTTGAACTCACCCAGTGATACGATGAGAGATTTCAGATGAGGAAGCCCCCAGGGGCAGTTCTACTCTGTAACACGTCACATGGACTGCCATGACCAGAGTGGACTCGATAGCAACTGGACACAACCCTTCACCATTCTAAAGTGGTCCCGGCGACACAGGCAAGCAGGACACGGCAAGATTTTGCAGCGACTTGGATGACTTAACATTTGTAGACTTCTAGTTTGCACCGTCACCTTAGCTCACCTGGTTCATTTCTCAAACCGTCAGCAACACAAGGCATAAATGTCCCTGACGCCATAGGTTACGGGCTACCTGTGGTTCCATGTTGGGCTGCTAACGGCAAGGTCAGCAGTTTGAAATTACCAACTGCTCTGAGGAGGAAAGATGAAGCTTTCTACTCCCCGTAAAGAGTTACCGTCTCAGAAACCCACAGGGCCCCTTCTACCCTGTCCTCTGAGGTCACGGTGAGCGGAAACTGCCTCGGCGGCTGTGAGTGTGTGTTTTGGTTCTAGGCTACATTCACATCTTTAGGCAGTACGGCTAAACATGACGTTCTGAGGCTTCATGTGCAAACGCTGATGCGATTTGTATTGAAATGTCCCTTAAGCAAAGGATTACATACCTCCCAAGCAGGTCGCCGTGCAAGGTGTAAACCCAGAGTACTCCCAGTCATAAGTCATCTCGCTGTCCCTCTCCTGGGCCGCGGTGGCTGGCTGGCGGGTGGCAGGGCTGTCCTCACAGGCTCCCAGGAGGCAGGGCCTTTCCGTGGGCAGCGGGGGACCCTCACACTCCTCCTCGGGCAGCTCCGTATCGGTCTGCGTGAAGGTGAGGAGGACTCGGCATTTCACTTCACGGACTTGCACGCCTGGCCCACACGTGGTACTGCAGGCCGACCAGGGCTCTGGAATGAATCTGCAGGACACCAGAGAGCCACATTGGCTAGCATTAAGACAGACCATCCATGCAAGAGTGACAGTCATCCTGGGAAGGAGCAATAACTCGCTTCATTCAGAGGGACGTCCATAGAGTTAGAATGTTATGCAGACATCCCTGTTGAAAGCCAATTATATCGATGACAGACCTTCAAGTTTTATGACCAACACAGAGTTTGCCCTCTACAGATACACCAACCTTTGCATCCATGTAATCATTCAATTGCTATTCAATGACCTTTGCAGACATCGTGACAAATGTTACCTTTAAATCTGATAATAAGCAACCCGTAATAGAAAGATAATTTCCTCTCTAGTTTCTTTTAGAAGATGGGGATTTCCACCGGTGTTCATTCAACCAGCCTTTATTGAGTTTATGCTTTGTCACAGGCAGGGGCTTATTAAATGGTCCTAAGGTATAGGGGTTCACTGTGAGTCAGAATCGACTCAATGGGGGTGAGTGAGTCAGTTACTGTGTAGAGGCTAAATTGTGGAATGACTTACATGCTGTCTGTGGCATGGATAAAGCTTTAATATTCTTTTGTGTTTAAACTAAAAATACATGAATCCCCTGGTTTTTCATGAAAATAGAAAAGGCAAAAGGAAGTAGTTATTTCTCTCTCTTACCCGGGCTGACTGTCCACTAAATCAGAGGTTGGCAAACCCAAAGCCAACCTGCCTGCTATTGTGAATCCCACCAGCTAAGAATGGATTTTACATTTTTAAGTGGCTAGAAAAAATCAATCATAAGAAGAAAATAATTTTGCAACTTGTGAAAATTACATAAAATTTAAATTTCAGGGCCCAGACATAGAGTATTACTGCAGCACAGCCACACCCCTCTATTTACATATTGCTCAGAGCTACCTTCATTCAGCTACCCTGGAGGTGAGTGTTGGACACGGAGACTGTGTGTCGGGCAAAGCCTACAATATTTACTATCTCTCCTTCCCTTTATAAAAAATGTTTGTTTAGCCAAACACTAATTTCAAAAGATAAAGAAGGGGAAAAAAGAGAAGATGCAGCTGGAACAAAACTATTAGGATACTTCGAAGCCATTGTCTGCATGGTGAGACATTAATAACAGAATTAATAAATTAATGAGAAATAAAATTCCTTGATAGATTAAATTTGGGAAACCCAGGATTCATGAGCGTGTTAATACTCAATAGGCTCCTAAACTGTTCCACGGACTATGCTATGTGAGCATGTACCGTAAATCTCGAAGGGGGGCACATGATATACACCACTTGCATAAACTGAAATGAATTCAGACTCCTAGTCTGAGACTGGTGTTCTGCTTACATAACTTTGGGAAACAGTGATGAGATGTGTGCTTAACATATAGTTCCACAGCTCAATGTTGAACATTTCAGAACAATCCGTTGTGAGGTTCCCCTGGAAGTCATCTAACATAGCCTCCTCTCCCCAGACAGAAATTACTACGGTTGTTTAAGACAGCACATCCTCAATCATCTGTTGCTATATGTGAGCCTGATACTTATTAGCAATGAGTAAAGTCCAACGCAAAACAACCTTCTTCTTCATCGAACTGCCGAAGAAACAGAGGTTATGTTTCCTACTCGCTTGTCCACTGTTGTGTGCCACCAAGTTGACTCTGACTCATATAGGCCCTCTAGGAACTTCCCCGCCAAGTTTCCTAGGTACACCTGTGGGATAAATGATGGGGTGCTAACTGCAGAGTTGACAGATCAAACCTACCCATCACTCTGAGAGAGAAAGATGAGGCTGTCTACCTCTGCAAAGTTTACAGTCTCAGAAACTGTATACAGGGTCCCTGGAAGTCCGAATTAACAGGATGACATAGGGTTTTGTTTGTCTGTTTAATCTTTATGGGAACAGACGGTCAAGCCTTTTCTCCTATGGGGCTTCTGGGTGAGCTCAAAGTGCCAACCCTTTGGTTACTAGCTGAACGGGTCATCCTGGGCACCTGCTTTGTACGATTCAACAGCCTATAAAGAACACCAACTAAGTAATGGGAGAACTTAGCGATAGGTTGACGCAACAACGGAATAAATTGGAAAGCAAAACTACTGAGCTAAAGCAGCTACAGAGCTAAGAAAAGAAACTATGAAACAAAAACACTAGTATAGCCTAGCCAGCACTTCAGAACAGGGCAAAAACAGAGGAGATGGGCTGAAAATCAAGACATAAAGGCTAGGCATGAGAAGGGATTGAAGTGCGACGAGAGAAAAAGAGACGCTGTCAAAGGAATTAGAAGGGTGGAGCGAGTGACAGGCTGAACGGCAAGAGAACGGTTTTGTATCTTAAATGAGGCCGGAGTTTTAGGAATGGATATACTAGTTAAAACTCATTGACTGGGCACTTTGAACAGGAGCACCTTATTACATGCAAATTATATCACTATAAAATGAGAGTTTTAGAAATCCAATTCGAAGCAAAGTGAAAAGGAGCCTCAATAAGCTAACACTGAGGGTAACTTCAAGTAGAGATACTAACGCATAAAACAGAAAAAATGTCCAGAAATATGACACACACAAATGTCCCTAAAATGCAGCTGGACGGGGCACATTCTCTACGAGGGGAAAGTAACAAAAGCTATGCACATAAAAGCCTGGAGTGGCAGAGAGAGTGACAGCCCTCGGATAGGTCTATGTCCTGTTTCCCAGAGCCTGTGACTATGTAGCAAGAGGGACTTTGCAGCTATGGACTGAACCTGGGAGTCTGCCATGTGAATGGAGAGAACTATCCCCCTGAACCACGACAGTCCTCCAAATGCAAGCCCAAAGGAGTACTGTTTATCCCAATAATGAGCAAACATCCAAAGCACAAACAGCCAGCAGATCAAGGGAGTCTTTAGTGTTGAAGAAGGAGAAGACTGTAGCACACATTAGTAAAGACATGTGCACGCTTGACATGACGGACAAACCAAACTCATTGCATTCAGTCAATTCTGATGATTAGTAGTGACTCCCAGAAACGCCTCCGTGGGTTTCTGTGGTGGTAAACCTTTATGGGAGGAGAACCCTCACTTTTCTCGCTTGGAATGGCGAGTGGCTTTAAAAGGCTGACCTAGGAGTCAGCAACCCAGTCCATTATCCCATCAAGGTTCCTATAACATGACTAAAACTACAAGATGTTGAGAAAATTCTACCTCTAAAAACTTGAACAAATGGAGACACACACCATGTCCCAGAATGGGATGAATCAAAATCCTAAAGATGGACATTCCTCCTTAATTGTTTATCAAACGAATGTAGTTCCAATCAGAGCCTCTTAGTCAATTGGGGGCGGGTGGGGTAGAAGCCAAATCCTACATCTTTAACGTGTTGAAGAAGGGTAAGTGAAAACAGTCCAAGGACATTTTGTACAGAAAACAAAGGGCAGTTGCAAAACTAGATAGAAAAAGATAATAAACCTAGAGCCTTTCAGATGGTATGGTGCTCAGGTAAGCCCAGCATTGCTAACTACAAGGTCAGATGTTTGAACACAGTTTGTTTGGAATAAACCCCATGTATGAATGAACTGAAAACTCAATAAGAATGTATGTTCTACTTTCTCCAGGAAGTCTTCCCTGGCCCCTAAACCTTACAATACTGGCTTACAATCTGTCTGCTTCACCGGTCCAACACCCACAGGGCCATCCGATACAATAAAGCCGCCCTTTCTAGTATCGTATCGTGTGGACTCACCATCACTTACGAGCTCTGAGATTGGGGATCATTCCTTACTATGGCTGTGCCTTGGTTTACTCATTCCTAAAATGAAGATATTATTAAAGCTTCTCCTAGAACTCCTAGGGTAAAATGAGAGATCACAAATGGAGATGCTAAAAGAACAGTGAAGAAAACACCGGAGGTGTTCTTAACCTGTCCTAGTCCCTTGGCTTCCATATAAGAAAAACAGAGATGGAGGCAAGGAGACTGCTGACAGAGAATCCCATAGAAACCACGAAGACCCTGGGGAGGAACCTGTAAAACCACGATGAACCCTATCAAGGCTCAACACATTCCACAGCTGAAAGCTAAGAAAGTAAAAAAAAATCGCCTTTTCCTTGGCTTAGCTTTATAAGCTATGATCTTTATTTTTTCAAATGAAAATAAAAAGGCTTTTGAACATCCGCTCCCTATATAAATTCAGAGCCCGGGCCATGGTAAACCACAGAGGCAGAAATATTTATCTTCTCCAAATGGGTTTGGCAGCCTTTGCTCAAGGGATCTGAAATGCAGCTACATTCATTCTCTCATTCCTTGTCAACAAGCAAGCATCCCCAAACCACAAAAGACAGCGGTAATAAAAGGATGAACTGGGAGCTGAGATATGTTGTGGTTTTGTTTGGAAATCTAGGGAATGAATGGAGTTAGAAGTGGTAGCAGGAAACTATAAACTTCACACTAGACAGCCAGGCAGGGGCCAGGAGCTGCCAGGCAGTGCGAATGATAAAGAGCCAGGCAGTGTGAATGGTAAAGAGGGACCACAGAGGGAGAGATGGTGGGAGGTAGGGGGGGAGACAGCCACTCAGGCCAGGAACAGGTGTTCCCGGCTGAGTGCTCCCAGTGGGAGAAAGGAGCAGTGTCCTTCAGAATCAAAGGAATACTGCTTTGTTCTGTGAATAAATATGAGGAAGAAAACCACCGCCCAACACGAGAGGCTAACAGAAAATGCAGGCTTGGAATGGGTATGCAGCCTACACCCACACCTTCCTCGAGAGTTGGTTCCCTACATTTCAGATTTCTGGATTCTGAACTGTGAGAACATTTGTACGTGTGTGTATCTTTCATTTTATTTTTCAAGTTACTCGCTCGTGTTATTTCTGCTTTAGCAGCACCACGGTACCTTCCTTAAACCCTATGCTCCTTTGGTCTCTGTAACAACAAGGGCTCCTAGTTCTACTCCTTCGTCTGTCTGCTGTTTTCACCACTTCATCCACCTTTTCCAAGTCCTGTCTTGCTGTAGATCCGCCAAGCTTCTGCCACAAACCCAACCCTCTTCTCTCTTCCCTTGACTGCTCTGGAGCCAGTCACTCACGGCATCCCTAAAGTCTTCTGCGTTCACGATCAACTTGACAGCAGGCCACGTAGAAAAGCTTTGAGCACATCAGACGTGTGATGCGCCCAGTCCCTTGGCCTGCATCACAGAACATATGGTGCCTTCTCGGGGAGAGGTAATCCACCCTCCCCCGGGGCTCACGGCTGGGCTGGAGCAGATTTGAACAGGACATTGACAAATGAGAGTATGTTCTGGAAAGAACAATGAGGTTGGTAAGGGATCTAAAAACAACAACGCACAACACAAAGCTTGAAACCCACTGAAAAGGCTAAGAATGATGAGCCCGGGGAGACAACGCTCTTGAGATTCATGACGGTGTTCGTGAAGCTTGGGGAAACTTCTCACGTGCAGTTGGACATGAGTGTGTCTGTTCTGCTGTTTCAGTGAACAAACATGAGAAGAAGGTGTATTTTGAGGCAATAACAGGAACAAAAAGTTCAAATAACTCCAGTTATTCAAGATAAGCACTCTCTCTTTAAACTTTTTATGGTGAATTAAGTGGGGGTGTATATTTCAGGGAGCTGTCTCTTGATGCAGTGACCTCTGCCCCTTGCTAGAGGCGTTGAAGAAGAAATGGCTGTTTTGAGAGGCAAGTTGGCCGTATTACCTAAGGTTTCCCTCCAGTATTCTGTGAATTGCTCCTTCATACAGAGCTTGTCATCACGAAGGACTTAACATGAATGACATGAAACCAGCTGTCCTTTCCAATTACTTGAGCCTGTCTCGGGCGGCGATCTTTCTTTGCACAGGCTCCGGGACTAGAAATATCAAGCACCGTCCATTCCTTTCGCGCCTTCAGACCCTGCACCTCTACCTTCAGAATGTGTCTTTGGTCTGCTCTTGGTTTTTTATTCTCACTGACACTTTTATAATCCAGACTGGTCGGATCACAGTGGACTTCAGTTATTAGATTTATGAGTTCCAATAAAGCCTGAGAAGATCAAACCCAACCAGTTCATTGTATTGGTCAGGAGAATGGAACACAGACAAATGGTAAGACTTGTCTAAGGTCACACAGTCCACGGTCAGCAGTGAAGGACGTAGGCTCCAAGGCTCTTGGTTCCGGGCTCTTTCCACTGGCCCATAACACGACAGTCCTGGGATCTGTCCTCACAGCCACTAAGTGTACTGAATCCATTTCAGCTGAACTGGTATTATAGAGATTGGTCATGTCTGAACCATGGGCGATTGCTTTATTTGTACAGCGGTATGGTCGTCCTTGGAAAACGTGTATGTGTTAATCTAGGAATAATCCCCAATATCTTAAGTGTAACCGATCACCAGGTCTACGCTGAGTTAAATAATACTGCTCTTTTCAGTGCTTCTCACACATATTGCCAAAGTAGGACTGCTGAATTGTGAAATAAAGAAGAATTCTAGCCAACTCAGCTCTCTAGAGTCTAAAAATCCAGGTCATTTGGAAACCAAATGTATCACTGTACTCCAATGAGTACAAAAACTACATATATCATGTTAACTGGCTTTGCCCTGATTACTCCCATGAAAGGTCCTGGACTCACGTTGGCTCTTCTGTTGCTATTCTGGTCTCTTCTAGTTCTTGCGCTTGTTTAAGCCAAGGTAACTTAGCCTCCACTGGGCTTTTTTCTAGGAAGAAAAAAAACAAACAGGAACATAAACAATAAGCATAAACTATTATCACGAAGGTGTTGGATACATGATTGTTATTTACTGACAGTTTCATTACTAAAATAGCAACATTTTTGAAATGCAACTTCTGTCTTTTAGCACAATACAGTAAGTAAACTCTGGCTTGAACCAAAAATATCTGCCATGGTTTTTAATGAACAAATTTGCAACCCAATCAATTCCAAGGTAATGCTGTTGGATGTGTTCTCCAAGTTAACAGGAAAGTGTGTGTGATTGATTAATCTCCGTTTTTGCGTGTTTTCTCCATTTCAATCATATCACCTTGCTTGCTTTGGCCACAGATTCTTCTTGCCCACTGAATGAAGAAATCGACGGAGAACAGCAAGAACGTGGCGGTCTAGGAAGTGGGGAGGATAGTGTGAGAGAGCCCACACTACGGCTTCCTCAAATCTTTATTCCTGCTAGAGTTGTTGAGAGGGATGTTTGCCCACGATAAGGGGAATGTACGAGCAAGATGGTGCCCCTTTCTTTCCTTTGACTGAGGAGGGAGTGAAGTGAGATGGGAAATAATTCGGAGCTGCTTTGGGGAACCACCAAAGCAAACCCCACTGCGATCGAGTCCATTTTGACTCAGAGACCCCGACAGGACACAGCAGAGCTGCCCTCACGGGAATCTGACGCTGTACCTTTTTATGGGAGCAGAAAGCCCAAGGGTGGCAGTTTCAGCTTGCTGGGTTGTAACCCACTAGGCTGCCAGGGCTCCTTGAGCAAACCACAGCCACTTTCTTAGTGGCTGTGAAAATGCCAAGAGCCACGGAATGCACGAGGGAGGAGAGCAGACTTCACTATGGCTTCCTGGGAGAAGCCAGGGGCACAACCATAGTGCTTACTAACAGGAAGGCAGGTGCATCTGACCTGGCAAAGACCTGGCGATGCGCTCCTGCAAGATCACAGCACAGGACAGCTGAGGCAGCCCCACCTCCACCCGGGATCGACAGAAGTCAGTATCTACCGGAGGGCGCCCAACACCAACACGGACTTACACAAGCCATGTTTATACCATGCAGACACAGTAAAACAAATACATGCTGAATAATTAATTGAGGCTATTTGTATGGATAACGAGCCCAGATGTAATGAAGAACTTCCTATTCCCTCTAAAGTACTAAGTAAGACTGACTAGCAGCTAGAAACAATCTTTTTCCATTTAGAAAAAATAAAAGAAATACAAGGGCCTTCAAAAAGTTATTTGGTGGTATTGAATTATACCTGTAGAAGTTGCTGAATTGGACAATGTTTTGTTGTGTATATTTTGCCGCAATTATAAAAAATAATTATGTGAATAACAACGAGTACAAGGAAGAAGAAAATGTTTTAGAATTGATTGTGGCGATGTTATACAATCCTCTTGCTATGATTGAATTACTGAATTGTGATGCCATGTGGATGAAGTGCCAGTAACACTGTTAGAAACTGTTCTTTGTAACATTCTATTTTCCTTTGCTTCCATTTTTCTGTGATCTTTTTTGAAGCCCCCTCACATTTAGTACCGGGCATGGAGACAATATAGGGGAAGAGCATATAGCTAAGAAAATATGAGTGCTATCCATGTCTTCAAATTCACGAGGGACAAGGGGAACTGCGAGAGAAACCCTAAATGTGTCTGAAGATCAAGATCCGGCACGGAACATCTTCATTCCTTCCTTGTTAGGTACTAAGACGTGATTATTCCTCCCTTGAAGATGTATATTGTTCTTCCCTCAAGGAACTAAAGGCTAGTGTTGGTTGCCTCAAGAAATTAATGGACCCAGGCACCACGCACTGTAGAAACAAAGCACGCACACCTGGAGGGGAGCTAAACACTTCCTCTGTTTCCCTATTTACTGTCTCCTCCTTCTCTGCTCTGTGTTCTCTTTCTTCTCCTGCTCGACCCCCCCCCCAGGTCTCTCTCTCTCTCTCTCTCTCTCTCTCAATGCAGGGCTTCAACAAATTGTCTTATGTCCACCAAGAAATATTACTACAAGGCTAGAGAGATAGGAACTGGTCATTATAACCTGAGACAACTCAAAACTCACTGCCATCGAGTCAATACTGATTCAGAGCAACCACATAAGCCAGGGTAGAACTACTCCTGTGGGTGTCCAGGACTGTAACTCTTTACAGAAGTACAAAGCCTAGTCTTTCTCCTGAGGAGCAAAGGGTGGTTTTGAACTGCTGATCTTGTGGTTGGCAGCCCAACACATAACCACTATGCCACCGGGGCACCACTGAGCCAGCGGGAGCTCAGATTTCTTCCAAGATCAACACATCAGATATGCCTAACCGGGTCTTTCTGCTGTGGAGCTGCTGGGTAAGTCTGAACATTGGTGCTAGCAGCCAAGCACTCTATGGCCCCAAGACTCCTCTAAAAGAAAGGTGAAAATAGAGTTGAAGTAGAAACACTACAACATTAAAATGAGATCTGGAAAACACCATTTGAGTTGAATTTAAAATGCACCATAAACTTACCTTTGGGTTTATAACAAGGGATGGGGATGACGCATTCTTCTTTGATATGTAGCTTCAGTGGTGGATTGCAGCCCCCAACATGCTCTCCAAGGTGGTTGATACAGAGAACCACCCGGTAACGTAACCCTCGACCACAAGTAACTGTGCACTTGACAGAGAAATAAAGAAGGAAATGACAGCCTTTTACAAGAAGGGATACACAAAGGTATTAAAGTATCATGTGCAAAGGAAAGCCACTGACCTATATGAATAATTACAGATAATTTAGGGATAAACATTAAATATAATATAAGGACCCTATCTGTCGGCATCAACTCAGTGGCAGGGAGTTTGGTTAGAAGAGTGTAGGGATAATTTTCTGCGATGCTTTTACTTCTGGGCCCCTCCTTAGTAACAGATTCCTTCTAAGATCCACATCCAAGAGTGTCTGAGATGAGATCACAGCACAAGAAAAATAAAAATGTCTTGAAGTTTTATAGCCCAAATAGGAAAGAAACGATACAAGGCCGTCCTAAATTTGATTTCAAATTTACATGACATTGTCAAAATCGATTTGTAAAAATGAAAGCAACATTTCTAGACTATGAGTTAAAAAAAATAAAATTTGGATTCACTACACTACAGGAAAGACTGAAATTTCGTTCTACTCTGTTTATAGAAATTGCTCGTATAAAATCATTGTCATGCAAACAGTCCATCAAAAACGGAAGCCAAAATATTATAGGTGTATCAATCAATTCAAATGAATAAATAGATCATGTTACTTTTTCCCCTGAAGTTTTGTAAAGTGCTGTCAGGCTTTCTTAAAAGGTCAGCCCCAAGCGGTATAAATAGCGTACCCCTTAAGGCCCAGGGAAGGGCTAGGAGTCCTGGAGCACTTGCTTCAGGTCAGGGATAGCCTTGCCCTGTGATTTCCCTGGTCCTCCCAGAGCACACCCAGGCCAACAGCTTCATATGCGTTAAACAGATGAGCGAAGAAAGGGTTCACTACCTGAAGATCTTCCTCAAAGGTCCCATAGTTCCCACTATCCCATGGCTCAGTGACTGATCTTGAAGCTTCTTGCCATTAAATTGCCTGCTGTCAGTCTTTTCCAACCCTTGTCTATCTCAACTCATTCATTTAAAACATAATACATGAATTACTTTCAACAAAAACCATACACGCTTCTTAGTAATCAGATTCCGGATCAAGGACATTTCTCATCTCAACATCAACATTGCCATCTTCTCTTCCAATTCTTAGTAACATGAATCCATCTCTCTTAAACTAGATGAGTTAGGGCCCTTGCAACTTCTAGCCATTCCATGTCATTCCTGCCTTTCCTGGGCTGGACCATGCCCTGCTTAGCCACAGTGATATTGTCTATGGCCCGTTACTTGTAAAAAATCTACTATGCTTCAAGGATTTGGGAATCAATACAGCAAAGACTACTAGTCAACTCTGTTCTAACAATGGGTCCTTCGAGATATGCTGTAATCTTTAATGTTAATTATGTTTACCACTACTGATACTCAAGGTCTCTTACATTGTCCTTCAATTATTTCCCTACGTATTTAGAAAGGAGGGACCACGTTCATATAAGACTTCAGATCTTCTAGGTGTTCAGCACATTCAGGCACGCAGCAAAATAGTCAATGAAACCTGAGATTTCGTTGAGAGAGCCATGTCCCACACCTTACCTGGGACCACTCCATAGCAATCCACTTGGGGCAATCAAACAGATTGCAAGTTTGCATAACCTTGGGCTTGGGGGCGTACATGCACTTCCATTCTTCCACTTGCAGTATCTCTCCGTGCATGGACTCCTCCACACACACAAAGCTACGTCGCTGAATCCCTCCTCCACAGGACACTGAGCACGCAGTCCAAGGATTATGTTCCCAGCTCAAAAGCAAACAAATAAAAACACATTATTCATTTGCATGTTTATTTGTGCATTTCAAGTATACAAAGATAGTCACAGTAGATATTTCCTCAGGACACAATTGTGGTTCAGTTGAAAGAACCCCAGAATCACAGGCCTTAGTCTTACTTGTTGCATACAATCTTGAGAGTCTCTGAAATGGAAGAGTCTGTCCAGACAGAATTACTAGAGCACCAGAGAGACTCAGAGTCATAAAGGGCCACCCAGTCATCTGTGGTGCAGGTAGAAGGGGTTCTAATTTGTTATTACTTGCAATGTATACTTGTGAGTGGCTGTCAAGTCATCCTGACTCAGGGCCATTCTATGTGCTGCAATGGAGAATCGCTCCACAGGGTTTTCAAGGTGCTATTTTGGGAGTAGCTCACCAGGTCTGTCTTTCACGGCACCTTTGGGTGGGTTCAAATTGCCAGCTGTTTCGCTGGTACCCTGTTTCCCCGAAAGTAAGACATCCCTCGAAAATAAGACCTACTTACAGTTTTGCCTCTCACTGAAATATAAGGCATCCCCCCCAAAATAAGACCTCCCTGAAAATCAGGGTTTGGATTGTTATGATGATGTTCCAGAAGATGATGGCATGACTGTCATCGAATAAATGAGTAAATGTACCATAGATTGTTGTACATGGAAATAATGGTAGTAACAAGAAATTCTTGATATTGTAGAATTCACAGTTTGTCTGGTTATGCTGGTTTGTGATGACAACTACTACCATACCGTATACAGGTAATAAATTTCCTTTTTTGTTGTCCAACAATAAATGTGTATGGTATTCTTCTTCATGGAAAAATAAAACATCCCCTGAAAATAAGACCTAGTGCATCTTTGGGAGCAAAAATTAATATAAGACACTGTCTTATTTGGGGGGAAACAGGGTAGGTGAGTGCTTACTTATTTGAACCACTCCGGGACTCCTTTTGCCGACTACTTGCGTTAATCACCAAAAACAGAAGGGGAAGGAAATGTGCAACTCACCGAGGGAGCGGTTGGAAGTGATCGTAGGGCATAATCTCTTTAAATCCATCACTACAAAAGAAATTACTGTCAGAATACCATCTAAAAATCCACCAACCCATTTATTCTCTGATTAGCATAGACTTGACATCCCGAAAGGAAACTTCTTCAAACTGAAAACTCAATATCCCAAGTATCAATCTATGGAACCACCATCCCAGTTCTAAGTGAAAATGTAGAAATCTGAACTAGTGGTATTTCTTGATCAAATAAAAATCATTTTCTTAATCCAGATACATTGCTCATTGCTATTTTATCATGCAAAAAGTTGTTCTGATGAAACATATACATTGCATATGAATGCACTGACATATTAGTAGGTCTTAAGGAAACCATTTTGCTTCAGAAAAATTTTTCTTCAAAAAGGTCCCTATTAACAATTAGGTTCCATTGAGATGACAGGAAATGAGCAGTTTAGTGACAGGAAATGAAATCCACGGAGAATGCTTCCTTTTCCACTCGCGCATCTCTGCCTTAGCCAGCTGGCAGACACCTGGGGGGATTCTGGGGCTTGATATTACGCTGTTATTTTATGATACTGTAGTAAAGCCAGGAAACTTCCCCAGGCAATCCAAGTCAGCAGGTACTAAATTATACAACAGGATAGTTTATGCATAGCTTTTCTGCTTTGGCATGAAAACTTTCTACTTCCTTGCACAATGCATTATTTATATTGAATTTAATATGAACACTTCAATAGTGTAACCCTGGTAATGGGTGACCCAGTTGAAAAGCTAAAACAGTGGGTTACAGATGTTGATGACTGTCAGACGGACTAACGTTGTGGTTGGAAGAAGAGATTCAGCTGGGGAGGCTCTAAAGGGCTCATTATAGAAAGCTTAAGCATCCACAGTACATGGACACGTAGCCCAGTTCCAGAGGGAGGCGGTCCATGAGTGCCCTGACAAGCAAATTCATCCCAATGTCTATTATCAGCTCGGATAGAAACGCGACCTCAGACACCTGCCACTCGTTAGGAAGCGAGCAGGATGCCGCCCTGCAAAGATGGATCAGTCTGAGCGGTGGTTGATCTGCGTCTTTCTAGACTGAAGGGCTGTGCTGTAGGCAATTATTCAAACCTGGATGGGCAAGGGTCCATGCTGCACTCCTTCAGTTTGGGTTTGGGTTTGACGTTTTCAGGGTAGTAATGGCAATAATGGTCAGGAACCACCCTCTTCAAGCGGATATCCACACACTCCGCGGAATTGAGCTGATAACCTAAGAGGGAGAGAAGGCAAGCCTGAAGATTGCATTTGTTTCCTTTGTACTGGCCACACGCTTTCTCTCCTCCCCAGTCCCACCAACTCTTTTTAAGAGAGTCTTAATTTAGTAGTTCTCAATTCTGACTGTGTAACAGACTCAAGTGGGCAGCTTTTCATATATATCAAAGCTCAAGAGCCTTCACCGTCCAATTAAGTTAGAAGCTCTGTGGCTGGGGTCCAGAAAACAAGTATTTTTTAAAAAGATTCCAGGTGATTTTAAAGTGACTGAAACGTGTGGCTGGGACTGAAAACCACTACTTGAATTGCCCATGATCGAGGTGACTCAAACGTTACCATCACACCAGACGCCGCCGGGTAGACGGGACTCTCTCTGGACTCCATGTGTTTCAGATTAGAACGGAGCTCCACTAAAACTTTTTTGCTGAGTTCTCAAATGTAAATCACCAGGTCTTTCTCCCAAAGTGCCTCTGGGTGCACTCGGAGCCCCAATCTTCCAGTTAGCAACCGAACATGTTACACAGTGGTCATTGTTAAGTGCCATGTCCAGTCAGTTCCAACCCATTCTGAGCCTATGCACCATAGACTCAGACACTGCTGGATGCTGTGCAGTCTTTGCAGATGGTACTATGTTTGCGCTCATCGGCAATCCGGCTCCTTGAAGGTCGTCTGAAGAGGGACCTAAGGACTAATATCAGACTTATCAACTTGAGCTGGACTGCTGGGATGTTTTATTGACATATAATTACTTCTTGATATAAAGTTCTTTCTTTTACATACATATATGAGTATCACTGGATTTGATGCTCTAGTGAACATGGCCTAACACAGGTTTAAGTAGGGGTGAACAAAATCTGCTTTCCTAGCCCCTTTTCCCTAATCCACAGGCCATCAAAGGGGAAAAGAATGAAGACTTACCCCTGATTCAATTTAATTTATGCAGTCTCTGAAGAATGTGCCTATTCCAAACAGAGGAGTGTTGTAAATTGAAAACACAACTTACAAAGTGACACTTGTACTTTCTGAAAGGTCTGATTCCAAGTTTCTAGTCACTGCATAAGTGTAATGTTAAATTAAAAAAAGTTTTAAGTAATTTTTTCAAAAATAGAACTAATTCTTTTAAAAAATGACCGTCGCCCCCCGGCTCCCTGCCCCCACACAAACACAAGCAAAGCTTAAATCTTCAACCAATTGGTCTAAAGGTCTAAGTTCTACGTAAAGGCCTAGTTGCCAAGAGGAATCTGGTTTTCTCAACCACTAGACAGCTTTGTACAAGATATGGCTGGGGTCTGGACTGCTTATCAAAGGACCTACTGGGATGTGTTATAAAAAGCAAGGTCAAAACCACAAGAATGAAAATCCAAATGGAATCAATAAAATGTGACTCTGGTGCCCAAATCCCCCAGAAGGTCTACAATATTAGACAGCATCGGCAAGGGCAATGGCAACCTCCACTCGGTGCTTACTGGTCTCAAGGGTCCCACAACCCTGATAAGACAAGACTCATGAAGCCCACCCAAATACCCAAAGTACTAGAGAGAACAACAGACTAATTTTCCTAATTACCCAAAAGGTTCCAAAATGCCCTTCATATTAATATGTAGATTTGGTAACGGATGTAATTACATTTGGGTAATGCATTCCTCGTGAGCTTTTGTGGGTGCTGTTCTTCCCCACGCCCACCCCCCCGTCTAAGTGCAGAATGATGTGACAGTTTCTCAAGTCAGAGAAAATATTTGTTCTGAGTGGAAACACACTTCTCTCTAGAAGGAAGCAGGGAGTGTTATAGGTTGTTTATCATTTGGGGACAATTGTTTTTCCTCTTGATTTAGTGGGCGTTCAGAATTCATGAACAGTGAAAGAAATCAGGGAAATTCTCTGTAAAGGAGACACGGTGGCCCAGTGGTAAAGCACTTGGATGTTCACCAAAAGGCCAGCGGTTGACCCACCAGCCCCTCCTCAGGAGAACGAGGTGGCCATCTGCTGCTGTTACCATTGATAGGGGCAGCTCGACTCTGTCCACTTGGATCAATTTGTTGCCCCTCTATGTGTTAATATTTTTAGAAATTTACGTTCTGCAATTCTTCCAGTGTGCTGAAAATGGCAGGCTTCAGGGGCACCCTCTGGCAGCACACAGTCTCCCTGTGTTCCCACAGGCACAGCTACCTGCGGCGACAATCACAGGGCGAGGTGCTCTGAAGCAGCTCTCCAGGACGATTGGTCTTTCCACAGGCACTTCACTCCGGAAACTCCTCCCAGGCATGGACTCAACAGAACTAAGGAGAATCTCCCGGTAGAACATCCCTCCAAAGCAGAAGGGTGTTTGGGTGTGCATGTATGTATGCATGTGTGTGTTTGTATTATTTGTCTGTTTTAGCTTACGTGTTACTCTTTCTGACTGTGCCAGAGTGCTGGAGAATAAAGCAGAAACAAAGAGCCATATGTCCCTTGGGTTTTGCTTGTAAGACTAAAAAGGTACCACTGTCTCTTTGCTTTGGGGGTACATGAGCAGGTTCTTGTCTTCCTTAGAATCATGAACCCTAGAACCACCTGACTGGAAGGTGTTGGGATTCTGCTTCTGATATAAAATACGAGTCTCTATGTCGATGTCTATCCCGATGTGAGGGTTCACTTTGACCGAACACATCACCAGGTACCCAGGACTGCGAGGAACAGGGTGCAGCTGAAACACTGTGGCCTCTGTAGCTCTGACAGATTCTCAGAGAGAAGTTTTAAACAAACTTCAGATTTAGATTCTGACATCACAGCTATTTCCCAAGCGTTTGCTTCTTGCCAAACCATGTTCCTTGATATGCGTAATATCATTTCATCCCCCAACAACTTTGTCAGGGGACTATTTTAAGTCCAATTTGCAGATGGAAAGACTTAAGCTCAAAAATGTCTCAGAGCTAATTAGTGGCAAAGCCAAGAAGAAAATCCAGAGCCTTGATCTCCAACTCAACATGTCCACTAGGCCATGCTGCCTCTTGATAGAAATGTTGGCCGGTACATTTTGGAGACTAGGATTAGCCAAAAAAAAAAGCTCTGAGGCCTAGGTTTAGAGAGACTTCTTGGGCTTGCCCAGCCCATCGCCTCAATTCCAAGCAGTGTTTTAGCTAGGCCAGCTTTAAGCAAGGTCAGATGTTTTTAAGAATGACCCGTACCGCCTGCTAGCGAAACTGACTCAAAGATCTGGAAGTGCTTGTGCTTCAGAAAATGCTTATAATGTTCTACACAACACATGCTGACATCGGGAGGGCTGGGATTGCTTGTTTCTGAGAGAACAGACAGTGACTATCAGAAGTGGCACAGGTTTGAGGGCCATCCACTCCACAGTGTGCTGTCATTGTATTTATTTTTTTGTCCATGTGCTATTTATGGAAAAAGATGACTATTGTCCGGTTAGCATAGTAATATAAATTTGTTCAGTGAATTTAAGCTTGTTTTACTTTTTAATGCCTGACAAATATCTTAGGTGGATTAATAGAACGCCCGTGGCATTGATATGGTAAAAAGAGTGCAAATGATATGCTACAGAGTCCTGGGTGGGGTCAATGGGTTTCCTTCTATCCGGAGACCCCTCAGAGGAGGTCTGGCCATCTACAACAACGTCAGTCCATGGAAGCTCCATGCGGAGGCACCTTGGGATACCACAAGCCACCGCTGACCCACTGGGAACTGGTTTGGGAATACAAATACCGCTGATATCCAGAGAGACTGCTCTGAGGAAGGGTGGTACTCAACTTGAATCTTCACAGGAGTCAGCTGAGGCTTGTGGAAGCACAGAAAACTATGCTTCTGATTTTCTGACCCAGTGTGTCTGGGATAAGATATGGAAATTTTCATTTCGAACTAGTGCCTAGGGCATGCTGATATTGCTGGGCTCGAAACAGCATTTGAGAACCACCGGTGTACGACCATGATCAAGTGATGTATGGGCCCAAGCCTGGCCCTTGGAAGAATTAACTGGGAAATTGCAAACATTCTTCTTATATTTTCCTTTTGAGGCTCTAGTCAGCCCCCAAAGGCCGTGTCTCGCTCCTTCTCAGGTACTATAGGTCAGGGTAGAACTGTTCTTGTGAGCTTCTGAGACTGTAACTCTGAAGGGGAGCAGAAAGCCCCATCTTTCTCCCAAGGAGCAGCTGGTCATTCCAAAGTGTGGAACTTGTGGCTAGCAGCCCCACTTGTAACCAGTACACCACCAGGGCTCCTTGTTTCAGGAGAATCTTCTCTGAAATGTGATATTGGCCAAGGAAGCCTCCTTGACGTACATGAAGTTTAAAGGTCAGAGACAAGTTCAATTTCTAGCTCTGGGAGTGATCTGATACTCTGAAGCCCTGGAGGAAAAACTAGGTTGGGCTTTGAGGAGCTGGACTGAAGGAGGAGGACTTCTAGCTCTTCAGAAAGCTGTGCACCCTGACCAGGTCCCAGATACGGGAGCAGATGCCATGGAGGCAGCCCAGTGGAGACACAAGAGCAAAGTCATTTGAGGCTTGGCTTTGATTGACATCTGCCAGAGATGGACTCGGGTTCTGACTGAGCCCTTTATTAGCTGTGTAACCTTGAGTATGTCTCTTACCCTCTCAAAGTTTCAGTCTCATCCTGCATTAAGAGCAAATAAACAAGCAAGCACACAAGCACACAAACCAGTTGCTGTAGGTCAGAGTAGAACCGTGCTTTGTAGGGTTTTCAAAGGCTGCCTTCGGGGAAGGTCTTTCTTCCCAGGCACCTGGGGTGGACTCTAACCTCCAGTCCTTGGGTTAGCAGGTGAGCATGTTAGCAATTGTCTACCTTAGAGACTCCTTACACATAAATCAGTGATAAAAATAAAACCTTCCATAGACCTGCTTGCAGCAACAGGTGTAGCATATAGTTTGGTACTTAGCAAATGTTCAGTAAATAGTGCCTGGTACTCTCAAGGACTCAATGTAAGTCTTTCTAGTAATTCTTCTAACTCATGGTGCTAAAGCTGGCACTCGCTGACCACTGTTCACTCTTCAGTTTAAAATGTCAGGGCAGAAGAGAGTGATCTTGGCACTGGCTGCTGGTCAGCTCCTCACTTGCTCCAGGGGTCACCATGTGCTCCTGATCATACAATGTTTCATTGGTAAGAAGAGCATGTGTGAGGCCTGGATTACACTTGATCCCAAGTCTACCTTCTGCAAAAAAACCCAAACAAACAGGATTTCTCCCTAATCCTCCAGTAGATGATACCCTGTCTCTTTTTGGTTGATCCTCACAAGTGGGGGGAGGGGTACCCTATCTGTTAGGGCAAACACTTACATAACTTGATCAAACTAGGCAATCACTTAACCTCCCTGCTTCTCAGATTTCCCAGAGCCAATTGATGCCAACAGTTCGCACTCCACCACTGACCTAAAGGTGGGTGGTTCAAACGCGCCCAGAAGCACCAGGGAAGAAAGGCTGGACCTGCTTCTGATGGAAGTCAAGAACACCCTACGGAACAGTTCTGTTCTGTAACACAGGGTGTCCCTGAGAGTCAGAATGTACTTGATAGAAATGGAGCGGGGTTTTTGTTTTATTATTTATTTTAATTTGGAGGAGAGATAAAAGAACACATTGGCTTTTCACCTGTTGAATCAGTTAGTTTATTGTGCCAACCTGGCCGATAAACACTTGTGGGACTTAATTGAAGGGCGGAGAGATAAATGGCTCAGTGAGCCTTGCCTTTCGAGTTCTCGGGTCTCTTGCTTTCTGATGGTCGCACAAGGGTGCAGCTGCCTTAGCAGTTCCCAGCTTCAGCTTGCAAGGCTGACTTCCTGCAAGACGTCCCCGAGGAGAAGCCACATGGACCTGCCCCAGTGCAGCCCTGGGTGCTGGAGCAGCCGTGTGGAGACCCCTGCCAGTGCTGAGATGCTTACACGTTCACTGACTCAGCTTTCCTCCTGGAGTCAGCATCATTGTGTCTGTTTTGTGAGATGGAGGAGGACTTTGTGGACTGGTGTTGGACATATGGGTTAATGGGTTAATGTTGGCCTTGTGGGATTGGGCAGCACCAGGTTGGGATGTTTTCTTGATGCGCACTTAACCTTTACATAAAACTCTCTCTTATACATGAGTTTCTGTGGATTTGTTTCTCTAAAGTACCCGGACTAATACACCTGTCTTGAAGAATAAAGGCCGATGGTAATATGCTATGCGATTAGCCATCTCTAAGTACTACATTGAACTTCAAGTCAGCTTCAACAATGCCAACGTGCAACGACCAACTCCGAGTTCTAAGTATTCCTGAATGGAATCAGTGGCTCACCTCCTCCACATGTCACAGTACAGGGAAAGAAATCTGTCTGTCTCCACTGATGACTGATTGGCTGGTAAAAAAAGAACTGGACCACGCTGTCTCTGGCCACTGTGTACCTGGTCTGGAAAGAGAGAGTTGTGGTAACACATCTGCATACAATACACTAGTGAGTTCCATACCATTCAACATGAGACAAAAATAATTTAACTATATTGACAATTTCACATGTATCATATCAGACTACAAGACACGAGGATGCCAAGGACTTTAAGAGGTGATATCATTTCATTTAGATCTGTCATAAACGGGAGTTGAAGTAGTCACCAACAAATCTCCCTGGAATAATTCCCTCCCCGCCACCCGTACCCCAGCAATCCGATGTCTATGACTGGGTTATAAAGAAGGAAGCATGGCTTTTCCTGTCAACATTATTTTCCCCCAGGTGTATTTGATTTTAAGTCCTATGAAGTAGGTACTGAAGCTTAATCTTGTTTTGTCTATAATATGACATATAAGTGAGATTCTTAATTTTTTAACAGTAACATCTTTTAGAAGATTCTTCTGAAGGCACAACTGCACAATTTCACGTGTGTGAAACACACAACGTATTTGCATATGAGTATTCTGCTACTTAATTAAAAGGGGGAGGAACACTGCTGAAGGTGACCAGCAAGTATACCCAGAGGTGGATATTACTTCCAGGGCATTTTACTCAAATTGCGAGTTCCCACCCTACTCTTTCCCTTTCCGCATGATTTAACTAATCATTGAACGGAGGAAATTTCCTAAATGCATTACAAAGAAGAAAAGCAAATCAAACCCAAGATGTAGAATAAGTTTTCAAAATGTTATGCTTGTCCGGATGTCCTCTTTAATACATGGTGCTTGAAGAAAAAAAAAAAAA